AACACCGACCCGGGAAAAAAGACAGAAGGCCTCGGGGTATGGTTCACCCCCCGGGGGGGGTGGGGGGGGGGGGGCTCCGCTGAATCGTTGCCGGTGCGAGCATACCTTGGTGGCCACCAGGAGAATTTTATAAAGACGGTCTTCTTTGTCTTCCGCGTACTCCAGCACTCCCGCATCGGACGCCAGAGGTTCTCTCCGAGAATCCGCCAGTAGAATCAAGAGCTTGAGGTTCGACCGGCGCTCAAGGTACATCCCCAGAAATTTCTGGCCGATGTTCGAACGGGTTTGGATAGAAGGGTTCAGGTACACGCACACTTATCACAAGAAAAGCTTGAACTTTGCTTGCAAGCCCGCAAGCGTTGCTTGTCTAGCTCTCTCTGGATTGTTAGCTCTTTTCCTAAACCACGGGCGATCATCCCAACAAAACGTACCACTAGCCCAAGCTGGAGGTGGTGGTGGGGGTTGTTTGATCTGTGGATTGGGAAGGTTCTAGGTCGTTGCTTCCGCTCACGGCCTTTGCGGGCACACTTTGAACTAATGCCTGTGCCGAGATTTACACGCCACATCGTGATGACAATGCTTGCTCTCGTGCATAATAAACGCCGATTCCACAAGCACGATCACCCACACGACACGATGTATCTTAAGCTATGAGGCACAGGGGACACCTAGGACAAAGAGAACGACGACAACGACAAGCGCGGGGGGGGTGTACTCTTATGTTTTGCATGCCTTGGCAGTTAGACCATTGACCACGCGTCCTCGAGAGGACGGAGAATTATCGGGGGGGGGTTGCTGTATCACCGTGGACACGGACCTCGATGGTGCGCTGCTTGTCCTTGGACATTTTAGCGTACCCATACCCCGGCAAATCGGCAAAGTAACACACGTCCTTGTCGTTGCCGTTCTTCGCCTGGTGGGATGAAAGGAAGAGCCAAACGTTACATGAGCAAAAATACAACAAAGAACGTCGTGCACGGGACTGATCGACGCGAAAAAAACGACATACTTCCTTCGTCCCCCGCCTTGCAGCTGGGGGAGAATAGCCTGTTCAAGATAATGGCGCGTCTGAAATAGCTTCCTCTTATGTTGCATGCTACTTGCGATTCACGCTTCTGAAAGAAGTTTTGGCATCTGAATTCGTATTGGAGACTTTTCCTTGCCGTACACATATTGTACAGGGATTTTTATGACGAGGGTGCAAGCATGACCCCTTCCGACGCCCGGGGGTCCCCACCTCGACCTCTACCGCCATCGCTGCCTACAGTGCAGTTCTTCTTCTCCTATGGGTCAAGCGTGCTCCTCGCTACCGCCATCGTGGGGCATCATCCTGACCGGAATCAAAGCCCCTGGAGAAACGGACGTCTACTACATCGACAACGCACGGGATTCACAATCTGCTCGAAACCAGACGCTGCCGTTGATTCGGTTTACGTCGAAATCACTGCCACGCGTAACGGAAAACGACGTGGTCTGTGTGTACCTCCGGAGATTCTCGGCATGATCCCGTTCCGACCGCAATGCCTAGATATTATTTCTTGGCACCCACCTTGAATATGTTGATCTTGCGAGTGCGCCCGGGAGTCTTGGACACCTTCGCCACCGGCTCCCCGAAGAGGGTGTTGAGCATGCTGCTCTTGCCCACGTTTGATCGCCCCAGGAACGCAATTTCCGGAAGATTCGTCTGTGAAAGTTTCCCCCCCCGAGAGATTTCCAACACAACACACACAGCACACAAAGCAAAAACCGTACCATACCGGGTACAGGGAGCGGGTATATAAAAACCGGGGAAGAGAGGCGGTTTCGTGGGTATGGCCGGGAGTTCATAAAAGCGGGTGGTGTCGGCGTGTTGCGGGGTGGGGGTACAGCAGCTAGCGCCCGCACTTGAGAATCCCTGCACAAGGCTTGTCTCATATTTTCTCTATGGGGTACTCCCACAGCGACTCTGTAGGGTTTAGTGTAGGCCATTTGACCGAGCACCCGTTCTTATATAGGTTTTAGTGCAGGCCACTTGACCGAGCACCCGTTCTTATTTACTTAGTGTAGGCCACTTGACCGAGCACGTGTGCTTATGGCCAACTTCCAAAGTGTGTCTTTCTTGTAGACTGATTTTCTTAACCCCCAAGTTCTCAACAGCGGGTGCCAACTGTATCAAGGAGTGCCAGCGGCGAGAGGTAAAACGCTTGCACGCCGGTAGGCAGTAAGCACGCGAAAATGACGGAAACCGCGGAGAAAGAATGTGAACCTATGCGGCAGGTCACCAAAAAGCACGCGCACACACCTACAATCATGCCACCCGGTGCCTACTGTTCGCTCGGAAGTACACAGCATTATGTAGGGGGAAAATGCCACGGCTGTTTTACTTCACAAAAGCGAATAACCACGAACGTAAAAAACTCGAGCCCCCTTCTAAAAAAACGATGTGAGTCATGAATGAGTACACAATAATGAAACGAATATCACGGAAAAGGGGGGCACAAGCGGACTGCATACACAACAGACCAAAAACGCTTACAACGAGAACGTGTTCAAATCGCCAGAAAAACCTAACCGAATCCAACCGCCGTGGAATGCAAGCACATCAGGGTGAACATACTCCACCCCCATCTCCCTCTAGAGCCTGGTTCGGTGAGAACCCGGCGTGCTCCGTCCCGGCTTTGTAGGGATGCGAGGTCAAAGGTCTAACGACTACGGCATGCACGACTACGAGTACCCCCCCCCCCACCCACCCCTCTTCCTGGAACCCTTACCCTGGGCCATATCTCCTCCTTGTCGTCGTAGCTACCGACGAACTCGACCTTCCGGATGTCGTTGGCGCCGAACTTGGACACGATCTTCTCCTTCTTGAAAGGGTTCCTGCCGGCCTTCCCCGGGCCATCCTGGTCGTCCTGCGGGTCCCCCACCCTCCCCCTCGGCGCCTTGGGTTTTCTCTCCTCGCGCTTTCGGGCGCGCTCCTATCGACCAGAGGTAATCATACCCGTGCATGCCGTAATCGTTAGACCGTTGACCACCATGGGGGGGGGGGGGGGGGGGGGGGG